ATTTTATATCTCAAAATTGTATTTAAAATTATATTTATATCTCATATGTTTGCATTTAACAATATATTCAAAAGCAGTGTGCTCAAAAAATTGAGCAATATAATGATTAAAGCTTTGTGAGTGTTAATTATATCATTTTCATTGGTCACTCTGTCAAAAACAAAAGCTTTGTTCTTATTTCTGAAATAAAAAAGATATTGTTGTTATTGTCATCAATTTGACTCCATTTCACAGTGACCCTATGAACAATAGATCAGAACCCTACCCTCTCCTGTGCCATTCAGACCATCTTGGACATCCTTGAGCTCACTGTTACAGTCACTGTGTCAATCTACCTTGTTGAGGGTCTTCTTCTTGTTGGCTGATGAGAAGCTAATACCTTGGTGAATAGGCCATCCCATTGGTTGAATTAATCCTTTTTTCTTTGGACTTTTCCAACATTATTTTGAATATTTTTAAATGTTTTGTAACTGAAAACTCTAGTATTTTATTTATATGCACTCACACTAATAGACAATAGATGCAATTAAAGCATTCTTTAGTTTGTACCAAATAAGAAGATTCTTTTTAAAGATTGAGTCATGAGAGGTTCTGTAGCAAATTGAGATTCAATCCCATAAATTTTTTGGAACTGGAATCTTCTTTAGAAGATGAGATGGTAATTTAAAAAAAAAACAAAGTAGTTTTACAACATCTTAAATGACAGTGATAGCATAAAGATGATTGTGCTTACCATATAAAAATGTCAAAGTCATGATTAATTTTTTTTATGGCCTCAAATTTCTAGGGCCTTCCTGGATCAATAAAACAGAGAAAGCTTTCTTCAGAGGCAGAGATAGCCGAGAGGAAAGGCTTCAGTTGGTACAAATGTCCAAAGAAAATCCACAGCTACTAGATGCAGGAATTACAGGATATTTCTTTTTCCAAGAGAAAGAAAAGGAGCTTGGAAAGGCCAAGTTGATGGGTTTCTTTGACTTTTTTAAGGTATGCATTTAAGTCCTCCTATCTGAAACTGAAAGAAGCTCTCGTGGCACAAATAGGTAAGATCTTGGCCACAGTAAAAAAGTTGATGCTTCACACTCAGCAGGTAACTCCATGGGAGAAAGACCTACAAGGACTCTAGTTTAGAAAACCCTACATGACCATTCTGCAATGTCCCATGGTGTCACAGTGAATAGAAATGACACAACAGATCTTAAAGGTCTTCTTCTAGTGGTACAAGCAGTTTGAAGCAGTTCTACCCTAATACATGAGGTTGCCATACGTATAATTCAACTTAATGGCAATGAAATTGGGTTTGTTTTTTTTTGTTGTTATATGGACATGAAGTGATAAAGTCAACCAAATAGGTGGACTTGGACATATTTCACCTGTTTTATTAACTGGCACACAGTTTGTTATCAGGTATTTTGTTGTTGTCATATACTGGTGAGTTGGAACTCACCCAGAGTTGACCCTCCAGTGAGTTTTCAGAGGCAATTAAGTACATGAGAGGAGAGCGCCCATCCTTCTGCTGGGGAGCAACTGGTGGATTGGAAACACATACCTTTGGGAATACAGCTTTTGTTTTTGGGTTTTTTTTTGTTTGTTTGTTTTTTACTTTGTCTACGAGATGTCTCAGAGTTAAATTTAATGTTCAAAGTATAGTGCAGAGATTAACCCAGGGATCTGGTGTATTGTGTCTTCTTTTTCTCAGTTTTGTATTTCTTTTAATAAACTTGGAATATAAATGCCTTTTACATAAAACAATCTCAAATCCCTTCTGTAAAAAGTAAACAAAACCTACTGACTAACAGTGACCCTGAAGGAGAGCAGTCTGTGTATCTCTGTAGAACTAAATTACGCCATCCTTCTTCCCAGCACTAGCTGGTGGCTTCGAGCTGCCAACTTTTTGAGTAGCAGCTGAGATCTCTAACCACTACACCACCAGCACTCTTTCTTTTAAGTCAGTTTTAAGTGCCGTCATGTCGGAACCATCTCATAGTTGACCCTCCAATGGGTTCCTTTGTTAAGTAGAATATGTAAATTTTGTATAAGTGAAATAGAAGCTGAAATGTTAAGTAGAATATGTAAATTTTGTATAAATGAAATAGAAGCTGAAATTGTGGTCCAGGAGACTCAGTTTCTAGTCCTACCTCTACCATAACTGTGAGACCTTCATCAGCAGTCACTCCAGATCCTAAACATATGCCTTTACAATTCCTTCAGAGGATTATTACGAGGATCAAAAGAAGAGATTTGAGCAGTGTGACATAATTGGACAGATTAGAATGGGAAATCTGCTCCCGTGCAACTAATTAGCTGCCTCTGAAAACCCAGTGGAGAGTCAGCTACAGGTCAGCTCTGACTAGACGATACTCAACAACCAATTATTTAAGAAGGAACATTTCTGGTGGCTCAGTGTTAAGGGTTAAGTGGTGACTCAAATCTCCTGGCCATTTACAGGGAGAAAGGTGTGGGAGTCTGCTTCTGTGTACATTGACCATAAAGGGCAGTTCTTCTTGGAACTAGTAGAATCAGTAGAACTCAGAAATCACAGGGGTTGCTTTTACTTTCAGTTACTTCCATCGACAGTGTCTTCGCTATGAAACCAGAAGGACTGGATGGTGCCCAGCTACCACTACTGAAAATTTTGATCCAAGGTTCTTTAGCATTCTTTGCATAGAACCTGGGAGTAGGAGGTTCACAGTCTCTTCTCCATTCCCCCTCTTGTGAGATTTTATTTTTTTTTTTAAATCTTCAGCTACATTTTTTAACTGTGTGAAGAACTTTATCAAACAACATGGCCAGCAATGTTGCCAACAGGATAGATCCCCGCTCCATGAACTCCCGTGTATTTATTGGAAACCTGAACACCCTTGTGGTGAAGAAATCTGATGTCGAGGCACTCTTCTCGAAATATAGCAAAATCATGGGCTGCTCTGTTCATAAAGGCTTTACCTTTGTGCTGTGTGTTAGTGAGAGAAGTGCCTGGGCTTCTGTAGCAGAAGATAGCAGAATGAATGCTGGCCAGGTTTCAGATACTCATCTGGGTGCAGAGCCAAAAGTGAGCCGAGGAAAAGGAGGTGTGAAACGATCTGCAGTGGGGATGTATGGCTGCTCTTTTGACTTGGACTATGACTTTCAAGGGGAATATTATGATAGGATGTACAGCTACCCAGCACTGTTCCTCCTCCTCCCACTGCCTGGGCTGTTGTGCCTTCAGAATGCCAGCATGTAACAGAAAACACTTCACAAAGGGGCCAAAGTGGCTTCAATTCCAAGAGTGGACAGCGGGGATCTTCATCAAAATCTTCAAAGCTGAAAGGAGGTGACCATTAAGAAGGAATTGACCCAGATAAAACAAAAAGTAGATTCTCTGCTGGAAAGCCTAGGAAAAAATTAAACAGAACAAACATGGAGTAGAGATGAAGAATGGTGAAATCAGAAGAGGAGCCGAGCAGAAACTCCCTGAAGAAAGATGAAACTAATGTGAAGAAGGAATCTGAGGGGGGTGCAGGTGACTCTGCTGAGGAGGGTGGGCTTACTGGGTGATGATGATAATGAAGATGAGGGATGGCCAGCTGGAGTTGATCAAAGATGATGGGAAAAGAGGCTGAGCAAGGAGAGGATGACAGAGACTGCGCCAATGGCTAGGATGATTCATAAGCACATGGTGTGGTTTAGAAATCTGTTCCCATTAGTTTTTTTTTTTTACCTAGGCGCTTTTCTAAGATGAATTTTTCTCACCAGATTACTCTCCCTAGTGTCTTCAGCACATGCTCACTGTTATCCCTATTCTTGCCCTTTCCATGTTCATTAATTCATATTGTCCCCCACGCCTAGTACCGTTTTCCACTTCCTTTGACGCTCCTAGTAAAGTCTCACTCTGTACATTTTGCTTTTAATTTTGATATTTCTTTGACTTAACAATAAAAAAGGATGGCTGGCGTTTTGTTTTGTTTTTTTTTAAAAAAAAGATTCTTGAGCAGAATTTTGATCAAAAAAAGGGAAATGCATAATAGAATCTCAAATTCTCATGGACTCCACATTTTCTGGAGACTTGGATGAACCGCTAAAATTATTGCCCTAAAATCTCCTTAAATAAAAAAATATACCTGATGTCTTCACATACTAGTTTAGCTGATCTAGTAATAAAGATCTGCCTTAGGCTCTTTTAAGAGCTGTTTGTCTGGTATTCCAATGACAACTTGAAAGACCAGGTAGGAGACTTAGGGGCCAGAAAACTCAACAAAGGAAGAGTAAGAATTGTTGCACAATTTTTTTCCCCATTGTTGTATACCGTTGAGTCAGATCCGACTGGTACTGAAGGAGATTGCCCCTCCTTCTCTAGCAGAGCATCTGCTGAATTCTAACCAAGTGCCCTCAGAATTGCAGCACGTCTTCTTGCCACTAGGCCACCAGAGCTACCCTGTTGTGCAATTTTAATAATTCAGTCAGTGCCACTGAATTGTACCTTTAGAAAATGTTGAATTGGTATATATTTTTGCTATATATAGTCTCAACAAAATAAATGAATTTTTAAAAAAAAATATAATTAGATCTGTGAACACACCTCATTCATCTCGGTATGGAATAGTGAAAAGAATGTGGGATTTAGATTCCAAGAATAGATTTTCTTTAAGTTTCCCCTGAACACCAGGTTTTTTTCATTGGTGAGAAGGATAATACATTATTATAGAGAAGTAAAGTTTGATTCCTATGAAAAATATTTTTGAAATATAAATCTAAGTTTATTAATCCAACATATATATTAATGTGTGAATTGAGTTATAAACATCTTTTTAGTCCTTAAATTTATCTAGGTTTTTGTCTCTTCTATTCTGAAACAATGAAATGGAGATAATGCCTTCCTGTGGCTAGAAGGAACAAATGAGATAATGTATAAAGAAAAATTCTTAATGTATTCCACTTTAATGAATATTTTTTTAAATATAAGACTTATTTTAAGGTAAGAAGTAAAGATACATTTATTAGAAAGTTGCATCTTTCCTTGAAAGGAAATATGGAGGAAAGGCGATTAATAATAAAATAACTTTTGAAAATTACTTTTTTACCTGATTATAAAAATCTGAATTCCCCCAAAAAGTGAAAAAAAAATCTGAATTCCCCATTAAATATACTTAGTTGAATTTCCTAAAATTAATCCAATATTTTCTAAAATTATTTACCATTTTATCTTTAAATGCATCATATTTCTTAAAAATTGACCTGCTAAATGCTACCTTATGAGTTTGTTGTTATGTGTTATCCAGTCAAAACCAATTCATAGCAAACCCTCTAGTGGGTTTGCGGAGGCTGTAAATCACACAGGAGGAGATTGCCCATCTTTCTGCCATGGATCAGCTGGTGGATTTGAATCCTTTGGATTGCCAACACAGTTCCTTATCACTAGGCTGCCAGAACTCCCTTCATATTAGTTTAGTAGAAGATAAAAAGATACAATTAAAGCTTTGAAACATTATGTTTGAAAAATGGAAAATTGGGGGTTTTTTTATTTGATATTGTAATGCTGTGAAGCAAATTACTTTTGTTAACAATTTTTGCTTGTTTTTAATCTTTTAGTACAAATATCAAGTGAATGTGGATGGAACCGTGGCTGCCTATAGATATCCTTATCTCATGCTGGGCGATAGTCTGGTTCTAAAGCAAGACTCACCTTACTATGAGCATTTCTACATGGCACTAAAGCCTTGGAAACATTATGTTCCAATTAAAAGAAATCTTAGTGATTTGCTGGAGAAAGTTAAATGGGCCAAGGTATGTCTTCCTCAATTTTCACCTCTTCAGTCAATGACAATTTTGCTAATATTAGTAATATTAGCAAAATTAGGTCAGTAGAAGCACAATTTAATATGGCATAATTTAATCAAAAAGAATGTCATTTTCTGAAAATTGTGTTCCCTGGAAACACACAAAAGAACTAGGTGAGGATCATACTGTGTACCTTCTAATTTAAGGGTTTAATAAGACTTGAGGTCTGATATTATTATTACATAGAAAAGATTTTCTAAATGAATTGTTGTTCATGCCTACATACATAATAAGAATATGCCAGGGGTTGATCACAGATTTTTAACAAAAGGCTTAAAGTTGTGTGTGTATGTCCACACACACCTAAAAACATTATGGCCCTCCCTCTTTCCTTTCCTCAGGAAAAAAAGGACAAATTCTTAATGGACGTTTCATATAGCAAAAAGTGAAAGTATAAAAATTTTTATTATGTTTCATTATAAAACTCATCCTTCCATTTTAAGACATTATTTGGTTTCTCGGTTTCTGAGAAGCAATATTTGGCTATGGGTAGGACTGAGTGCCTACAGCAGAATCATTTTCGTGATCCTCATAAACTTTATAACTATCTGAATTGCTAGCAAATGGACTTTTCCTACAGGCTACATGGTAGAAGATTAGCTATTTTCCAAAAGTATAATTAGGAACACTAACTGTTCCTGGTACTGACTGAACAACCATAGGGTAAGTAATAAGGTGATTTTTTTTATTATTAAGACAATGATATATTTTTTTCATAGCTTCAATTGTATAATACGTTTCCCCCTTCTCACTATATGCTTCAATGGGGCTTTTAAAAGATATTATAACATGAAACTTGATTTAATCCATTAAGGTCTCGATTTTAATATCAAGTACAGAGTACTAGGATAGAAGCATAGATAATAAGCACAAAGCTTACTTCCTGAGAAGCTGAGAGAATACTAAGATAAATCACTATTTTTTTCTTTTTAAGATAATAACTATTTTAAAAAAGAAAGATAATCATTATAAGAAGCTATAGAGTTGTTAGAGGGCGGGTGTGTTTACTGGGCTTTATTCTGAACATATATGATCATTCCTCTTTGACAGAGCTATCTAGGAAATCTCTTTATCTGTTTCCATGTTTCAATCTTTGTTATATTTTATTTTCAGAGAGCCTTATCTTCATGAACCCCCAAGCCCATATCTAGCCTCATTCTTAAAATTGTATTTCTATTATGTTCCATTTCTAATGCTCTCCCCATCCAACCTCACATTTGTTTTGCTTCACACTCCTATCTTTGTTTAGGGGGCTCAAGAGCAATTTTAATTTATTATTTCTTTTTAAACTTTTCAGGAAAACGATAATGAAGCCAAGAAGATAGCAAAAGAAGGGCAGTTGGCTGCTAGGGATCTGCTCCAGCCACACAGACTTTACTGTTACTATTACAAAGTGCTGCAGGTCAGTTCAGAGCGTTAAGTCTCCTGGATCCTCAGTCCATCTCCTTGGTCTTATTGCCTTGTAGTCTGTTGAACGGTGGCTAAACAGAGGCATTAGCCTCAAGAAGAAAGGACTAGTTGCTAAGCTCTTTTGTGACCACCATATTTTCATCTCCGTTCATATTGTTGCTATGTGCTGTCAAGTCGAACCCAACTCATGGCTACCCATGAGCAGATTTTTCAGAGCCTGTCAATCACATGGAAGGAGACTGCCATCTTTCTTTAGCAGAGCAGCTGGTAGATTTGAACCATGTACCTAGGGGTTGCCAGTGCAGCTCTTTACCATTCAACCACAAGAGATCTCCGTTTAAGTATTATGAAAAACAATCCTTAGACCTCTACAAATATAGATAAGAAGCTCCTCTCATCGGCTCAGTGCTTACTTTTTAAAGTGCCTTTTTAATTTCTAGTTTAAGTGTTCTCTGAACCTCAAGGAGTATTTTTTCCTTATCTGGAAAACAAGTCGTTATTATTATCTCATTCTATTCAATTTGCACTGTCTTGTTTTCCTTGCTACCTAAGATACTATTGCAACTTGGAGACCTTTAGAGAAAAGTATTGGGTAGGAAGCAGATACTTACATAAGGCAATCAAACAAATGAAAAAGTTTGTAATATTTCTAGTGTCTTAGGGCTGAATCATGAATTACAAATATTTATTGGCAATGTGCATATTGGTTATTTGGGTATCCACCCTTCATTTACTCAATATGATTCACCAAGAAGAAAAACAAAATTTCTTTTTCTGTAAGAAAAGAATTTTCCTTAGATGCCTGTGAATATAATTCTCTCAGAAAAGTTTTTTTTTTCTTAGTTCACTATTGGACACAACTTTGCCATTGAGAAGGTTCTGCACCCTTTTTAGTCCAGCATTAATTTTAATATTAAGAATTCCCCCCCTAAGAGATTATTTAGGCTGATTTTCAGATTCTGTTGGGTTTGGCCCAGTATCAATACTAAACAGCCAAATGTACACAGAACCACTGGCTGATATATTAAAATTATAAGGATTTCAGTTCACGGGTCATGTTGTTGTTGTTGTTGTTGTTGTTATGTGCTTTTGAGTCGCTTGCGACTCATAACGACCCTATGTACACAGCCCTAAACTCTGCTCTGTCCTGTGCCAATCGCACCGTCTCCGATACACCCATCCCCATTATCCCAGCCATTGAATCAATCCACCTCACAGGGGGCCTTCCCCTTCTGCACTGTCCCTCCACCCTACCAAGTATGATGTCCGTCCCGAAGGACCTGTCCCTCCTTGCAACATGTCCAAAGTATGTTATACGGAGCCTTAGAATCCTTGCCTCCAAGGAGCAGCCCAGTTTGACCCTTTCCAGGATGAATCTGTTTGTTTTCCTAGCACTCCATGGTACCCTCAATACTCTTCTCCAGCACCACAGCTCAAAGGCATCAATTCTCCTTTTATCCTCCTTAGTCATTGTCCAACTCTCTGATGCATAAAAAGTGATAACAAAGACCATGGCCTGTATCAGATGCACCTTAGTCTCCAAAGAGACACCATTGCTCTTCAGTACTTTGGAGAGGTCCCTAACAGCCGACTTTCCCATGGCAATATGTCTTCTCATTTCCTGGCTACTGGTGCCAAGAGTGTTGACTGTGGAGCCAAGCAAACTGAAGCTATGAACAATCTCATTCTCTTCACCATCCATCCTGATGGTGCCAGTTGGCCCAATGGTGAGAATCTTTGTCTTCTTGACATTGAGCCTCAATCCATATTGGAGGCTGCAGTCCTTGACCCTCTGCAGCAAGCACTTCAGGTCCTCCTCAGTTTCAGCAAGCAGGGTTGTATCATCTGCATATCGCAGATTGTTGATAGATCTTCCACCAATCTTGACCCCACATTTCTCCTCATAGAGCCCAGCCTCCCGGATAATCTGTTCTGCATACAAGTTGAAAAGGTATGGAGAAAGGACACTTCCCTGGTGTAAGCCCTTCCCAGTTCTGAACCATGCAGTAGTATTCCCTTGCTCTGTTCTGATGACTGCCTCTTGGTCCAAGTATAGGTTTCGTATTAGAACGATCAAGTGTTCTGGTATTCCCATTCTTCTCATAGTCAGCCACAGTTTGTTATGATCCACACAGTCAAACGCCTTTGCATAGTCAATGAAACACAGATAGACATTCCTCTGGTACTCCCTGCTTTCAGCTAAGATCCATCTAACATTAGCTACAATATCCCTAGCCTTCTAAACCCAGCCTGGACTTCTGGCAGTTCTCTGCTGATGTGCTGTTCCAGTCGTTTTTGGATAATCTTCAGTAGAATTTTGCTTGCATGTGAAATCAATGAGATTGTTCTATAGTTTCCACACTCTGTTGGGTCATCCTTCTTTGGGATGGGAACAAATACAGATCTCTTCCAGTCAGTTGGCCAGGTGGTTGTTCTCCGGATTTCTTGGCACAAGTTGGTGAGCACATCCAGCGCAGTATCTGTTAGCTGAAATATGTCAATTGGTATACCATCTATTCCTGGGGCCTTATTTTTTGCTATTTCCTTCAAAGCAGCTTGAACTTCTTCTTTCATCACCATAGGCTCTTGCTCATATGTTGTTTCATGAAATTCTTCTGTGTCTGCCAATTCCTTTTGATGCAGTGACTCAGTATATTCTTTCCATCTTCTTTTAATACTTCCTGGATCATTTAATATTCTGCCTAAAGCGTCCTTGATTATAGCAACTCGAGGTTTGAATTTGTTCTTCAGTTCCTTGAGCTTAAGAAATGCTGAGCGAGTTTGGCCCTTTTGATTTTCTGACTCCAACTCCTTACACATTTCATTGTAATATTTTACGTTGTCGTCCCGTGCTGCCTTTTGAAATCTTCTATTCAACTCTTTAGTATCTTGATTTCTTCCTTGTGCTTTGGCTTTCAGGGGTCATAGTGGAGGGAAATGTTTAAAACCATGTATGACTAAAGAGGACCTGTGACTCCATGTTGAGGCACTTACCATCTTTGCTGGTTTGACTATTCAACGAAGTTAGTTGTTGATTAATAAAGGAAGGATAATTACTGACCGGTGCTGTTTGTTTCCAAGGCAATGCTGATCCCCACATAGAATTCTCCTCTTCCATTAGGAAGACCCTGTCTGATTGCTGCCCATGTACCTCGTGCAGCTGCACTTGTGTTTCAGTGCACTGCTTGTCTTGCAGGTTGCTACTGTTCTTAACACATTTCATCAGGGCTTCCAAGCTAAAGCAGACGAGGGGGAAAGGCTTGATGATATATTTCTGAAAATCAACCAGTGAAAACTGATCTCAGCAATCAGATCCTTTTGTTACAGGGTTAAAGGCCAAGTTGTGGCAGTCATTTGTGTCAAGTAGGAACAGAGAGAGAGTTGTGCAGCCAATTCAAAGGCAGGCAGTTTGAATCCACCAAGATGCTTCTTGGGAGAAAGATGGATAATTTCCTCCTGGGTGATTTACAGCCTCTGACAAATCAATGGAGGCTCAGCTTTGAGTTGGTTCTGACTTGACAGCAATGAGGGGGTTTTGTTTTAACTACATAAAAATAAAACCTGAGGTTGTGATACCTTGTTCAATTGTAAAATATTACGCTATTTTTATAATAATGTCAAAATGTATCTTCTAAGACTAAACTAAACCAGTCCTTTGGTTTTAGTATGAAAATAGAATTCATAGCATGAGAGCCACGGCAGCGGGGTGGGGAAATGTCAATAGAACAAAGTGAGGACTAACATTCCTGTTACTTTCAAACACACACTGCAGAAATATTCTGGGCGTCAGTCAAGTAAACCTGAGATACGTGATGGAATGGAACTTGTTCCTCAGCCAGATGATAACACATCCGTCTGCCAGTGCCTCAGGAAGACACCTTTAAGAGATGATCTTTAAGTGAACTCCGGTGCACACTCCTGTATAGACCAGCCACATATTTAATGAAAGCATGAAGATACTCTAAGTTCTGAAGAACTTCACCCAGTCGACTAATTATCTTGGTGACTTTATATAACTTGGAAAAAGTAGTAGAGCAAGTATTACCAAATATCTTAAATAGGCATTGCTTTTTGATAAGAACTGTCATCATCAATATCACAATTTTTTTAAAAAGAAAAATTGGAGGATTCTAGAAGAGAGGCTTGCCAAAATAGAAATCAGCCCCTGTGAAGTGAAATTATATTTGTAGATTTATTTCTATCCCTTGTTTATTTTCTCTCTTTCACTTCCAGCCACACAGAAAGAACACTTGTGTGATGGTTTGGGTTTTTTTTCATTTCCTCATTCCAGATTGTTCACAATCTGCCTTTGGCATTTGGTAATATATCCTCCATTGAGAACGTCTGGTAAGAATAATCAAAGCAGATAATCCAGTGAATAACAGATAACAGTGAATGTTATTACGAGTGGCATGGAAATACTGTGAAAAGGATAATTTTTAAAAATTTCTTCTCATATATATTTCACTAAAGTTGCAAACAAAAATAAAGAGGTGCGGAGGTGAGTAATTCCCAGTAACCTGTCTTGTACATTTATCAAGAGCAGCATAGTTATTAAAGATGATGGGAGTAGACCTTCAGCCTCTCTATAATGAGCATATAAGAGATAAATGTCTTTGTATGAAGAGCTTTAATTTTTTTTGTCACCTTGAAAATGGATCTTTGAAAACCTTGATGGGTCTGGGAATCCTGGCATTTTGGGACTCACTATTAAGCTAACCGCAAAGGCAAGTCCCCACTCTTCACTCCTTCTCTATTCCAGTGGTTTTCATTATTAAAATAAAGACTTCAGAAGTTTCCCCCACTGCATAGAAGAGAGTCATGACTGAGGACTCATAGCCTAGAAATTGATTAAATGCCTCTTGCAATATCACCAATTCAAAGTTTGGTTCGCTGAAAACATGCTTCAGAAAACAGAATTACCCATACCCACCATTTAAAAATATTTACTCCCCAAAAGAAAGTATTTTACCTGGGAAACAGTGCAACAATTTTAAAGTTTTCATATCTTTTTAAAATCAAATCTAAATACAGGATTTTTTAAAACTAGACAAACACTAAAGAAAATTTGAGATGAATGTAATTTAAGTCAGAAATTCAAAGCAAATACCTACCATTTGTTCAAAATCACATATGAACAAATACAAGGGACAAGCAGCTGTACTTAGGCTTTAATGAATTTGTGTTTTCCATATGTTGTACAAGGAGGTAAAACTGGAATTAAGAAAAGAAAGGCTGCCTCAACCACACCTTCCTATGCTGAGTAAAATAATTCAGTCGCAAAAGGACAAATTTTGTATGAGACCACCATTATAAAAAGTTAAAATTGATTTAAATGCAGAAAGAAGCATTCTTTCATGGTTATAAGGGAGGGGTAGAGAGAAGTACTATGTAGATAGTACACAGATGTTGATTATGTGAAGGTAAAGGCAATAGTCAATATGGCAGAAGTCTACACAATGTTAATATAAAGAAAGATAATGAGAAAGGATAATTTTGTAAATTCTATAACATATACACTCCTGCAGCAAAAGTACTAAACAATTTGTGAACAGATACACAGATAAACATGTATACTAAGTAGGTGAGGAAGGTCATATGTGGGTACACCCCTATACATATGATTATTTATATTGCTGCACAGGCCATAGTCTTCACAATTAGATGCTATGCATCAGAAAGCTGGACAATGACTAGGGATGATAAAAGGAGAATTTATGCCTTTGAGCTGTGGTGCTGGAGAAGAATATTGAATATACCATGGACTGCTTAGAGAACAAACAGGTTTGACTTAGAGAGGGTGAACCCATTCTGCTACTTGGAGGCATGGATTCTAAAGCTTTGTCTGGCATACGTTGGACATGAGAAACCAATCTTTGGAGAGGGATATCATGCTTGGAAGGGTAGAGGGAAAGCACAAGTGAGGAAGACCCTTGATGAGATGGATTGATTCATTGACTAGTATAATGGGGGTAGGAGTGTCGGCGACAAAAAGTTGGCTCAGGATAGAGCTGTTGTCCATACATGTTCGCTATAAGTTGCAAGTGACTCAACCGCACATAACAGCAACAAATGATAACTTAGGCATTGGGACTGAAGTACTGAACTTGAAGGCTAAGAACCAGGTAAAACAGTTCATAGAGATAATAATCTACATGCTAGAATGGTGAGTAATTTTTAAGGTATTGAAAGCTTGCATGTAGCCATCTAAGAAGCAACTATTGGTCTCTTTTTACGTGGAGCAAAGAAGAATGTGCAAAACTAAAGAATCAAGAAAGCAGTTAGATTAGTTTAAAGGACTATTTAAAGGACTAAAGCTCACATGAATCATAGTCTACTTTAACCTGAGACCAGAAGAACCATGTAGTGCTCAGCTATCACTCCTATCCACAGTTCTGACTGAGACTCCAATAGAATGTCTGTGTTGCAAAGGATAACCATGTAGAACAAAATTAAAAAGAGAAAGACTAGACTTAACTAGTCTGAGGGACCAGAAGAATCTGCAAGCCTATTGCCCAAAGCAAAATAGGAGATGTGCTTATAAAATAAACAACCCTAGTAAAAAATATATTATACCCTAGGACAATCAATTATGAAGACTAAAAAGGAGATATATATACATATGTATAGTTCCCCCCCCCCAAAGAAAACCCAAAGACAAACCAAAGATGAGGAGGCAGGGGTAGTGAAATAAGATGATTGGGAAACCAGGGAGGAAGGGTGAGTGCTGACATTTTGTGGGGATTGCAACCTATGACACATAATGGTCAGTGTATGAATTATTGATTAAAAAACTAATTTACTAAGTGAATTTCCACCAAATGTACAATAAACTGGGGGGGGGGGAGTTGTAATTATACTACCATGAAAGAGTCCCATGATACTGCTGATTGAAAAAAGAAAGAAAACAACATGAACCTTGTGGAACCATCTATCTAAAATAAACAAAAGTATGTTAAAATGTCTGAAAGGATAATCCCTAATATCTGGGGAGAGGGTGGAGATGGAATTTTTACTGTTTGCTTTGTGTGCTTCTGTAATATTTTACTTGTTTTACTCTAATTATGAACCAGATTGTAAATTAAAGAAAAATGTGAAGCTTGGGGGGTGGAGGGGAGAACCAATAAATGCAGAAAATATATTGATTAAAAAAAATTTCTATTTTCCATTATGATGTTTATAAGTCTAAAAAATGTGTTTTGAAAAAATAGATTGTAATTATGCACTAAATATATCCCTTTCTTATACCAATTTGCTCCCTCAACTTTTGTTTTTACATGGTTTCCAAAGATACATGTATGTGTAAAGGGACAATATTGACTTTATATATAGTAACATTTAAAAACTTAAACTCATTGCTATTGACTCGGAACCGAGTAATAGTTGAGTTGGAACCAACTCATAGCTCACCCTCCAGCAGGTTTGCAGAGACTGTAAATTGCACGGGAGGAGACTGCTCATCTTTCTCCTTCAGAGCTACTGGTAGATTAAAACTGCCAGAGAGGACACTACCTAAAGACAAGGCCACCAGAGTCCCTACTATTAACATCAAAAAACAAAATCTGTATGAATGTTTGATGAAAAACGAATGTGCTGTAAACTTTCACTGAAATCACAACTTTAAAAAGGTAATTATTTCCCAAGAAAATAATTATACATATATATAACATTGTAATACTCTAAGGCAAAGAGTGTAGAGGAAAATGGGAGCATGGAGAAAAGAATAAAGGCAGTAGGAAAAGCATCCAAAAGCTTCTCTTCTACTCAGTTTCCTAGCAAGCTTCCTAATTATAAGTAGGTATGTATAAAAGGGAACAGGAGGGGAGGAAAAGAAGAATTTTTTAAATTACCACAATTCTGGATTATACTCTGGTCAAGTCATTGCTATTGAGTTGGAACCAACTCAGTGGACCCTCCAGTGAGTTTTCAGAGGCTATAATAAATTGCTCGTGAAGAGATTGCCCATCTTTCTTGTGCAGATCAGCTGGTGGGTTTAAGATGACAGAGGCACCACCTCTCAGTTAGCAAGGCAACTCCCTCAGGATATGCCAGCAGAGCTCCTCCTAGATTATATTACTACTGTCTTATTTAAGTAATTCAGAAAAGCACTTAATTTTATATCTCTTGAGGTTATTTTTAAAGTAATGATGTTTAGGTGCCTTCAAGTCGACCCTGTGCACAGTAGCTCTAAGCCCTGCTCTTTCCAGAGCCAGTCTCACTGTCTCTGACACACCTACCCTCATTATCCCAGTTACTATGTCAATCCATCTCATGCAGGGTTTTCCTCCCCTGCACTGTCCCTCCACTCTTCTACACATGATATCCTTCTTCAAGGACTGGCCTCTCCTGGCAACATGCCAAAGTATGTCAGGAGCTTCAAAATCCTAGTCTCCTAGGCGTAGGTTGTCTTCACCCTCTCCAGGACAGACCTTTTATTTCTCTTAATGGGTCAATATTCTTCTCCAGCACCACAACTCAAAGTCACCAGTTGTTCTTCTGTCATCATTCGTCATTGTCCAGCTCTTTGATGCATTGAACGTGATTGGAAAGACCATGGCCTGAATCAGGTACACCTTAGTCCTCAAACTGGTATCATTACTCTTCAATAATTTAGAGAGGTCCCTAACTGCAGACTTTCCCTGATTTCCTGACTGCTGGTACCAAGGGTGTTGTTAATTGTGAATCCAAGTAAGATGAAGTTTTGACAGTTTCAGTCTTGTTTCCACCTATCATTATGTTGCCTATCATCATATCGAGCGGTAAGAATCTTTGTTTTATTGGTGTTGAGATGCAATCTATATTGAAGGCTATATTCTTTGATCTTATAATAAGTGCTTCAAGTCTTCCTTGTCTTTAGCAAGCAAGATTGTGTCATCTGCATGACGCAGGTTATTTATG